GGCTCTCCTGCCATCTCTGCAATGATTCCTCTTTCTGATTCCCACTCAAGTGATAGTTACTTGTGGTTATAGGAATGCATGTTATTATCCAGAAGACAATGGCTCCATTTTTATTAGCATTGTCTTTGTCTAGGTTTCCCCACTGACAAAAAAAAAAAAAAAGAAAGAAATCTTATTTCTAAACTTTCTATTACGCCAAGCAAACTGATTGTGAATCATTTATTTTTAGAGATATGAATTCACATTTATGGAGTTTAACTGCTTCTCTCCATGGGCATTTATTATGTTTCTTTTATGTATGTATTTATGAGAAAATAGAATAATATTTGCTATCAATTCCTATAACAGCTTTCTTCGTTTCAGAATGATTCCTATGATATTCCACTCATGTGAAATTAAATAAAGATGAAAATATCAAATATAATTTTTGTATCTACATGGTCAGTCAGATGGGTTTCTGCCCATTTTTCTTTGTATTTTTTATATATAATTCCCATACCATAAAATTCATAGTTCTAAAGTGTGTGATTCAGTGGTGTATAGTGTATTCACAAAGCCATGCAACCATCACCACTTTCTAACTCCAGAATGTTTTTGTCACTCCCAGAAGGAACCCCATGATTCTTTAATATAATATTTTTAATGGCCAATTTCTCAAAAACTGTAAGTTCAACAGAGTGATGTGTCAAAATGTCATATTATCTATGAACTATTTAAGGGTCTTATGCTCCATACAATGCCACATTTTAGTGATGAGATAGTCACTTGGATTTGGAAAATACCATTCTTATTTATAATGTACACACTGGTTCCTTCCATTTGGAGTCAGATGGAACTGGAAGCTTATAGATGAAATCCGTGTAACAGTGCTTTTATCAACATTCAGTTCAGTTCAGTTCAGTCACTCAGTCGTGTCCGACTTGTTGTGACCCCATGAACCGCAGCACACCAGGCCTCCCTGTCTGTCCATCACCAACTCCCGGAGTCCACCCAAACTCATGTGCATTGAGTCGGTGATGCCATCCAACTATCTCATCCTCTGTCACCCCTTCTCCTCTTGCCCTCAATCTTTCCCAGCATGAGGGTCTTTTCAAATGAGTCAGCTCTTTGCATCAGGTGGCCAAAGTATTGGAGTTTCAGCTTCAACATCAGTCCTTCCAATGAACACCCAGGACTGATCTCCTTTAGGATGGACTGGTTGGATCTCCTTGCAGTCCAAGGGACTCTCAAGAGTCTTCTCCAACCCCACAGTTCAAAAGCATCAATTCTTCTGCATTCAGATTTCTTTACAGTCCAACTCTCATATCCATACACGACTACTGGAAAAACCATAGCCTTGACTAGGTGGACCTCTGTTGACAAAGTAATGTCTCTGCTTTTTAATATGCTGTCTAGGTTGGTCATAACTTTCCTTCCAAGGAGTAAGCGTCTTTTAATTTCATGGCTGCAATCACCATCTGCAGTGATTTTGGAGCCCAGAAAAATAAAGCCAGCCACTGTTTCCACTGTTTCTCCATCTATTTGCCATGAAGTGATGGGACCAGATGCCATGATCTTAGTTTTCTGAATGTTGATCTTTAAGCCAACTTTTTCACTCTTCTCTTTCACTTTCATCAAGAGGCTCTTTAATTCTTCACTTTCTGCCAGAAGGGTGGTGTCATCTGCATATCTGAGGTTATTGATATTTTTCCCGGTAATCTTGATTCCAGCTTGTGCTTCATCCAGCCCAGTGTTTCTCATTACATACTCTGCATAGAAGTTAAATAAGCAGGGTGGCAATATACAGCCTTGACGTACTCCTTTTCCTATTTGGAACCAGTCTGTTGTTCCATGTCCAGTTCTAACTGTTGCTTCCTGACCTGCATACAGGTTTCTCAAGAGGCAGGTCAGGTGGTCTGGTATTCCCATCTCTTTCAGAATTTTCCACAGTTTATTGTGATCCACACAGTCAAGGCTTTGGCATAGTCAATAAAGCAGAAATAGATGTTTTTCTGGAACTTTCTTGCTTTTTTGATGATCCAGCAGATGTTGGCAATTTGATCTCTGGTTCCTCTGCCTTTTCTAAAACCAGCTTGAACATCTGGAAGTTCACGGTTCACATATTGCTGAAGCCTGGCTTGGAGAATTTTAAGTATCACTTTACTAGCATGTAAGATGAGTGCAATTGTGCGGTAGTTTGAGCATTCTATGGCATTGCCTTTCTTTGGGATTGGAATGAAAATTGATCTTTTCCAGTCCTGTGGCCACTGCTGAGTTTTTCAAATTTGCTGGCACATTGAGTGCAGCACTTTCACAGCATCATCTTTTAGGATTTGAAATAGCTCAACTGGAATTCCATCACCTCCACTAGCTTTGTTTGTAGTGATGCTTCCTAAGGCACACTTGACTTCACATTCCAGGATGTCTGGTTCTAGGTGAGTGATCACACCATCCTGATTATCTGGGTCATGAAGATCTTTTTTGTACAGTTCTTCTGTGTATTCTTGCCACCTCTTCTTAATATCTTCTGCTTCTGTTAAGTTCCTACCATTCCTGTCCTTTATTGAGCCCATGCTTGCATGAAATGTTCCCTTGGTATCTCTAATTTTCTTGAAGAGATCTAATCTTTCCCATTTTGTTGTTTTCCTCTATTTCTTTGCATTGATCGCTGAGGAAGGCTTTCTTATCTCTCCTTGCTATTCTTTGGAACTCTGCATTCAAATGGATATATCTTTCCTTTTCTCCTTTGCTTTTGGCTTCTCTTCTTTTCACAGCTATTTGTAAGGCCTTCTCAGACAGCCATTTTGCTTTTTTCGTATTTCTTTTTCTTGGGGATGGTCTTGATCCCTGTCTCCTGTACAATGTCATGAACCTCTGTCCATAGTTCATCAGGTACTCTGTGTATCAGATCTAGTCCCTTAAATCTTTTTCTCACTTCCACTGTATAGTCATTAGGGATTTGATTTAGGTCATACCTGAATGGTCTAGTGGTTTCCCCTACTTTTTTCTATTTAAGTCTGAATTTGGCAATAAGGAGTTCATGATCTAAGCCACAGTAATCTCCTGATCTTATTTTTGCTGACTGTATAGAGCTTCTCCATCTTTGGCTGCAAAGAATATGATCAATCTGATTTCAGTGTCGACCATCTGGTGATGTCCATGTGTAGAGTCTTCTCTTGTGTTGTTGGAAGAGGGTGTTTGCTATGACCAGTGAATTCTCTTGGCAAAACTCTATTAGCCTGTGCCCTGCTTCATTCTGTACTCCAAGGCCAAATTTGTCTGTTACTCCAGGTGTTTTTTGACTTCCTATTTTTGCATTCCAGTCCCCTATAATGAAAAGGACATCTTTTTTGGGTGTTAGTTCTAAAAGGTCTTTTAGGTCTTCATAGAACTGTTCAACCTCAGCTTCTTCATCATTACTGGTTGGGGCATAGACTTGGATTACTGTGATTTTGAATGGTTTGCCTTGGAAATGAACAGAGATCAATCTGTCATTTTTGAGATTGTATCCAAGTACTGCATTTCAGACTCTTCTGTTGACCATGATGGCTAATCCATTTCTTCTAAGGGATTCCTGCCCACAGTAGTAGATATAATGGTCATTTGAGTTAAATTCACCCATTCCAGTTCATCTTGGTTTGCTGATTCCTAGAATGTCAACATTCACTCTTGCCATCTCCTGTTTGACCACTTCCAATTTGCTAGATTCATGGACCTAACATTCCAGGTTCCTATACAATATTGCTCTTTAAAGCATCAGACCTTGCTTCTATCACCAGTCACATCCATACCTGGGTGTTGTTTTTGCTTTGGCTCCATCCCTTCATTCTTTATGGAGTTATTTCTCCCCTGATCTCCAGTAGCATATTAAACCAGAAAAATAATACCTGCACAGATCAAGCAAATCACAACAGCACATATAGCCAAGTAAGTGATGCTGTCCTTGTGCACAGAGTTTCCATTACACAAACTATTCTCCTAAGTGAGGGAATTCATCCCTTAGCAATTGCTTGTTAGAACATTGGGACCTCATGCATCACATTAAAGATCCATAAATGTCCTCTCAATGACGAAGAGAAGATGCATGATCATATCCACCCTATATCTGCATAGGCTGCTTCTGATCAACAGATTGTCATGATGCATGGCATCATGGAATCTGCTCCAGTGCTCCAGAGACAGCTGAGAAGCCGCATGGGAGCCTTCTTCAGTCATTGCTACAAGGGCTAAGATACTAAGAGATCAGGAACTCAGGCTTAGGATTTGACAAAATACCCTCATCTCTAAATGAATCGATTTATTTATGTCATTGGTACAAAGTATGCATGTAATATTTCATGACTGAGTACATCTTTTACTGTTAAAAAAAAAAGTACCCACTTTTGCTTGTGAGATGAGTAGAATTCAGAATCTAGCAACATTGTATTCTTCCCATTTCTTTGCCAATGCAGAATATCTTCAGAAAGGGATCTAATATAATTGTTAAGAATGTGCACTCTAGAGGCAGACAAATCTGACTGTGTATCCCAGGTTCCTCCATTTTGACCCATGGAGCCTCAGGCAAAGTTTAACCTCTGATTTTATTTTTTCTTGTGTGTAAAATGATAATTCTCCAACTACCAACCTCATAGGGTTATTGTGTAGGAACAAAATCAGATGATGTTTAGACAGAGCTCCTCACAGAATTAGGCACATAACAGGTACTCAGTAGACATTAGTTGAGTTGTTTAGTTGCTAAGTCATGTCCAGTTCTTTGCGACCCCATGGACTGTAGCCCATCAGGCTCCTCTGTCCATGGGATTCTCTAGGCAAGAATCCTGGAGTGAGTTGCCATTTCCTTCTCCAAGACATTAGTTAGCCATCCATTAACAAACGTTCACTGTTATAATACCACTAGAAAAGGGCAAATGTTACTGACATCCCAAACAGAATACGACACCATGTAGTTCCCACATGTCTGTTTTTGTTTTTTTGCTTTAAATAGTCTCATCTTCCATTTTGCCCTTGATTATTTCATACAGGCACTTCGAGGAGAAATTGCACCTCTCAAAGAGAATGTAAGCCACGTCAATGACCTAGCTCGCCAACTCACCACCTTGGGCATTCAGCTGTCACCATATAATCTCAGCACTCTGGAAGACCTGAACACCAGATGGAAGCTTCTGCAGGTAGGCACATTATAAACATTGCAGTTTCTTCTCTCAATAAGACAATATACAGATAAGCCTTGTTTGTAAGGAACAATGCAAGTAGTTTCTTCATATGATATTCATGATAGTTTGTGAGTGTATGATATTTTGTATTAACAGTTTCTTATTTCATTTTTTCAAGTGTATTAATATTAATTTTTAAATGACTTAAAGTTAGACTTTACTATATCTTGCCATTAACATAGAAGATAATACTGAATCATGCTTTAAGAACTAAATTACTGGCATGCCATTACTTTGTACTATCATAGCTTGGATTCTCAAAATGTCTTTCCTTTTGGACTCCTAATTTAAAGCAAAAGTTAATGGTAGCACACATTCTAAATCTTTTAAAGAAAGGATATCCTACCACAAACTGACTCATGGAAGTTTTTCATAGTAAATAAAGGGAATGTAAGTATGCTCAAGGTCATGCTTACTGACTATGGGACCTTTGGCAAATTAACTTTTCTGTGTCTCAGTGTTTTACCTGAAGAAAATGGGAACGTTAAATGTTTCTAAAATATTGGTGTTTTGTTAGGATGAGTAAGTCAAAATACATGGGGCGTGCTTAGTATAGTATTAGCTACATAGTAAAAAACACTGTGAATTCTAGTTCTTGGTGTTACTGCAGTTATAATTATTATTATAGCATACAGGTTTTGGAATCAGACTTACTTGATTTCACTCAACCTCTTTGCTTGTCCATTTCCTCATTTCCAGCATACTTGCTGTAATATTGAAGGGACTAATTGTTGTAGAGTTATTGGTACAGTACCTGGCTCATAGTAAGAACTCAGACAATGGAATGGTGAAAGAGGTGTGTCTATACTTTCCCTTCATGAAGGCTACCACTAAACCCCCACCCCTGCAACTAGTTTGATTACAGAATTAAAGAATTGTTTCTTCTGTTTTTCCAGTTTCATAAGATGCACAAATTATGCTCCTGGGGATAGAGACGAAAGCGGAAACTGGGTTTAAAAATATTTGCTTTCAGTGTTTTAGTAAGAAAAAAAATGATAAACCAGATTACTTTTCTATGTGCAGTCCATTTAGCAGTGTGATTGAAAGTCCTGTTGAAGAATTGTTAGATCTTTAATAAAAACAAGACCTCTCGAGATCTCATATAATTTAATTTTTTGTGTGATGAATAGTCTTGAAATATATGTATGATAGATTGTTATAAGTGGCATTGATTAAAGCCAGACAATATAGTTAAGAGATTACATGCATTTCTATGTCTATTTGCTCCATAGTGGTTACATACTATTAAAATCTTATCAGTTTCATCCTTAGTATATTTCTATCATTTTAAACATAAATAAGGAAAGTAATAAATGTCCAAGGAAAACCAATGGTCGCATTTGTTCCTTTCAAGCACTCTTGAACCATTATCTTAACATTACTTTTAGAGAGCTAAATGCCACATTTGCTTTCAGAATGTGATATAAATTTGTGAAAATGGCATGTAATTTTACAAATGAGATAAAAATATTATGACTGATAGGAAAAGAAAGTTTAAAAAAATCAGTGTGAGTGATCCATCATAGTTGTACTATTTATTTAAATATAAAATATGAGAAAATAGTACAGTTTGATTTTATCCATTCTTTAAAATGAATAAGGGACTTGGTTATAAATCTAGGGATGTACATAAAGAAGATAGGGTGTTGTAGTCAAAATACTGTAGGAGTGAATGATAGGACACCTAACTGCAAACTGAAGCTCAGCTATTATTTGACCATGTTATCTTGGGAAAGCCATTTGACCTCTCACAGCTGCTATTTCCACATTTGTAAAACAAGATAATGCATTTTGTCTTAGCTCACAGTCCGTTCAGTCCTGAATCTGTATGTGCATATCTGGGGGAGATCCACATATGTTGGAATTTAGTTTAGAGTCAGTGGATTTGCTTCCTCTTCATAATACAAATGTGACTGACTGGAATTATATTCCTCCTTCTATCAGTATAATTCTAGCTTTTAAAACCCTCATCCCCAAACACCCTTATAGACAGCCTTCTCATAGTAAATGGTTCAGTTTGTGGTATATGCTCTTATTGTGGCACATTCCACATGTTGCTGTTTTTTAATGTGACCTTAAGAGTAGACTTAAGTTGGTGTTTGTTTTTTTTTTTTAGCAGAAAGGTGATAAATTCAAGGTTTTGAGTTGCACATAGCTAAGTCAACTTGATTCCCTTCTTTTCTCTGACCAGAGTCTAACCACTCTGCTATATTATAAATGTGAGTACTTGTTCAGAAAATGAACAAAGCAAGAAATGAGGTTCACATCAAACAACTTTATCCCTATTACTGGAAGAGCAGCTCATATAGCCTATCAAGAACATTGTCCACTTAGAAGAATATGTGGGCGACTAAAGGATAACCCAGCTTCTGTGGAGGGGAGTGTAAGCCCACCGTTATTATGACATCACATTAATTCATTCACTTACAGTGCTATGTCAGTCAACTAAAATCATGATAAGAATAAGAGTTCATCTTTGCTTTTGGGTTTGCTAAGACAAAGAAAAAGCAAGAATAGAGAATTAGGGTAGTGGGAGGGTAGATATAAGTCTAAGAAAAAGAGTCTTACATTTGAGCAAAAAGTGCAATTGAAGAACTGGAATGACATACTCCCAGGCTATAGGTACTTGATATCAGAATATCCTGGGTTTGCCTTTGGGGCAGGTGGGAAGGCTGTACTGTGTCTTCTTGCTGTGTGCAGGTTTTTCTAGTTGCATAAATGGGGGCTACTCTCTAGTTGTGGCGTGCAGACTTCTTATTGCGGTGGCTTCTCTTGTGGAGCACAGTCTCTGGGATGCAAAAAAGTGAAAGTCAGTCAGAGTGTCCAACTCTTTGCGACCCCATGAACTGTAGCCCGCCAGGCTTCTCTGTCCATGGAATTCTCTAGGCCAGAATACTGGGGCAGGTAGCCATTCCCTTCTCCAGGAGATCTTCCCAACCCCAGGATCAGAGCCAGATCTCCTGCATTGCAGGCATTTTCTTTACTGTCTGAGCCAGCAGGGAAGCCCAGGGATCCAGTCATCGTGGCACACAGGCTCACTCATGGTTTAGTTGCCCTGCAGCATGTGGAATCTTCTGGGACCGGGGATCACACCCATATCCCTTGCATTGGCAGGCGGATTCTTATCGAGCCACCTGGGAAATTCGTCCTGGGTTTCTTACGTGGGCCATTAATTTTTACTTTAAAGAAAAGTCATAGTGAAACAGATCACCAGCCCAAGCTGGATGCATGAGACAAGTGCTTGGGGCTGGTGCACTGGGAAGACCCAGAGGAATCGGGTGGAGAGGGAGGTGGGAGGGGGGACCAGGATGGGGAACACATGTAACTCCATGGCTGATTCATGTCAATGTATGACAAAACCCACTGCAATGTTGTGAAGTAATTAGCCTCCAACTAATAAAAATAAATGGGAAAAAAAAAAGAAAAGTCATGCTGGTTTTCTAGCTGTATGTAATATCTCTCAAAATGTTAGAAACAGATAAACCATATAGATCTGCACATCAACAGCAGGGTAAGACCCAGTCACGGAATATCTGTACATAGAAATAGAATGTATAGCAAGTTCTGGATTTATATTGAATCCACAAATAGAAGTATAGCACCATTGATTTGCCCATTTGAAACTCTCTGTGGGAATAAAATCCTGTTTTCTCCCTCAGAGTGGGCACGTTGGTGTGGATGTTTCTATGACACCACTGGACGATGTTTTTGGCAGAGGAAATATTTTATTCCTTGTAATAGCAAAAAGTTTTCATATACATTGTTTCACTTAATCCTCAAAATGTAATGATTATGTATTATGATTACATAATATCATTGAGTCCTTGTACAAGTAAGGAAACTGAGACTTAGAGACACTAAGTGACACATTGACAGTCATACAGCTTTTAAGCAGCAGTCACAATCTAAATCAGATCTGAGCTGCAACTCCCTACTCTTTTCGTTGCCTCGTCTCACAGTGGACTTAGCAAAGTCATACTTTAGAGCTGTTTTGGGCAAGACAATATTTCAGTTTTTTTTTCATGCTTCCCCTCATTTTTAAATGATCCTCAGGGATATTAACTTTGAAAGCTTCCTTTGCAAACGAATGGATTAATGAGCCCCAGTTCAGTGTACCCCTTAAAATCACACCTGTCGTTTCAAATATAAAATTATAAAGCATTATATTTCTCATTGTCTGTAGAACTCAGTAATTGTACTAAAAGCAACCAAAAGTGAATTTAATAAGTTAGCCTTTAAAGTGGAACCAGTGTTAATATCTGATCCAGGAGAAATGAGTATTGAAACCAAACAGGAAGAAAATTAAACTGACAATAAACCCTTCTAATTTTGAAGCAGTACACATACTTTTAGTACTGAAGTTGTGCTCTTTAGTCACCAAACACAAGTACTATAGGGAATATTCTATAAGAAAGTACAAGAGGGAATATTCTATAAGAAAGTACTACTAGGGAACGTTCTACCCATTTCTCACCCTCATGTGCAAACCCATGAATAGCAACAGAAGTTGAAAATACACTTTAATATAAAGAGTAAATGCTTTGTTGACTGTAGGATGTATGAAATGTAATCACTTGAAAAATATTAAATATGAAGACATTTCTCTGTGTGACATTCTTTAAATATGTTTAAGGACAGCATCATGAATTATGTATGCTTTTAAAGGTTTCCTAAAAGTTTTCCAAAGTCATATGGACAGTTTTGTACTCTATCTTCACATCTTTGCAGTAACTTGATGTCATGGGGATCTAGACCCTCATCTTCTATACACTCCCTTCGTTCTTTCATTCTTTGCTTCTTCTTCCGTTCAGTTGGCACTGATTAGGCAGCTACTGTGTACCAAGCACACATTGTCATTGTCGTATCTGTTCCAAGGACATCATGACCAAAACTCTCTTCACCACTTGTGCCAACTTAAGCAAAGTTTTATAGATAAATTTTCTTTCATTACTTCC